AATATATTCACATACTTGGTGATTACTATATTTTGCTTTGGTAAATTTTGCAGCAAGTTAAAAGAATCAAAACTCTATACACTTTTTTTGGTATTTTTTTTTTAATCATTTACTTGTTTTTAAGAACAGTTTTTTTTTTCATTTTTTTTTCCAAAGGCACAGTTAGTAAATAGATGTTTTAAGAATTGTCCAATAGGAAACATCTCATATATAAGTTTCTTTTTCTAAAATTGTATAACTTGTCTATATACTTTCGTAATTAAGAATTTTTGTATAACATAAATAAGGCCGTAATGTAAGATAGTTTTAAGAATTTCGTCGGGTTTTTTTTCAACTCCTGAATAGATTTTTTCTCAATAATAAAATGAATTATATTATGTATCACTAATACATTTTAGTTTTTCTTACTGATATGTGATGTGGATGTATAGGTGAATTGAAAGTGGGATCTTAGGATATTATTTAGCGCTACTAAGATCATAGGCAGGGAGGGTTTTGAGGCGCGTCTCTACCAAACAACATCTTGGAGAGATCTAGTTAAGTTTTTTTTTAAGTTTCGATTGATGTGTTTGCTTTAAATTTTCCGTTAATTTTGATCTAAATAAGGGGTTTACATTCTATCTTTTTTTGTTATGATCAATTCCTATCCATTTAGGTTATTTAGGAGTCTATAACAACATTTATGTAGCAAAGTTAGTTATTGACAAGTGAGATTTCAAGGACAAGAATCCCACCCCACCCGACTGATCGCTAGCATTAGCAATGGCTCCTATAGTCCTGTTATCTTGACAAAGAGCAAAATTCGTCAATAACATTTACCATCTCATTGTGATGCCGTAATAATTTATGGTAGTTTCTGCTTTAGTCCTAACCAGACACACTCACAAGAACGTTTGTTCATTACAAGATAAGACCTATCGGTTCAGTAGTTTTCTGTAAGTCTCGAATGAAAATTTTCTAAAACAATTATTAAGAAAAATGTGAGCATAAAAAGAATCGTGACGTCAAATCATTATTTTATATAGGCTCTTGTTCTACTTTAGAATAGAACTATTAGTGTTCGAAATTTTATGTAAATCGGTTCAGTAGTTTGTCCGTGAAAGCGTAACAAACAGACATTCTCTTTCATATAATTATAGGATAAGATATAGGTAAGGATAGTTTTATAAAAATCGGGCGTAGAAAGGGCGTGGCATCGGATCAAGTTCTTATATATAGCTTATAGTTCTCTCCAAGCTTATACCTATCGGTATAAGCAAAATTTCAGGTTAATCGGTTTAGAAGTTTTTCATATTGTGATTGTAAAATTGGTGTAATAATAGTTTTACAAAAAGTGAGCGTAAAAAGGGGCATGGCATCCGATCAAGATCGTATATAGCCGATTGTTCCTTTTGGGGTTAGACCTATTAGCTGTCCAAATTTCATGTAAATCGGTTCAGCAGTTTTGCCGTGAAAGCGTAACAAACGAACAAACAGTCTGTTATATATATATAGGATTGGTGTAACAATAGTTTCACAAAAAGTGGGCGTAAAAACGGGGGTGGCATCCGATCAAGATCTTATATAGCCAATTGTTCCTTTTGGGGTTAGACCTATTAGCGGTCCAAATTTCATGTAAATCGGTTCAGTAGTTTTGCCGTGAAAGCGTAACAAACAAACACACAAACAAACAGTCTGTTTTATATATATACTAGCTATACCCAGTGTGCTTTGCTACCCTAAAATCATTATCAATAAAAAATCTTCTTAATAATTTTGAAGATTCTAACTGTAATGTTTTCCAGAGATACATTTTTTCCGAACGTTAATTAATATTTTAATGTAATCGATGACAAATTAAAAAAAAATCTAATATTTTCCCAGATATACGAAATTTTGTATTTAATTCATATAGGGGGTGCCAAGACTACATTGAAAGTCCGCCCGTTATTCTCTAAATGTTCACATTAATGTCAAAGTTCTTCAATTAATATTTGAAGATTGTAGCTCTAATAGTTTCTCAGATATAATAATTTTCCTATTTAATTTATATGGGGGCTCCAAGTTCCCCATGACGAATGTTCGCTCTTTTTTCTCCAAAATGTTCAGATGAATATTTAAGTACTTAGTGCAAAATTTGAAGAATTTAGTTCTATTAGTTTCCCAGATAAACCAATTTTTGTATTTTATTAACATGGGAGGTGCTGCTCCCCTCATGGGTAGTCCGCCAATTTATTTCCCAAAATGTTTACATGGATGTTAAAGTTACTCGTGGAAATTTTTAATATTTTTACTATAATAGTTTCCAAGATAAACGAATTTTTTTATATAATTTATATGGGAGGTGCCACGCCCCCTAATGCTAATCCGCCCACTTTTTGTCTTAAATAATTATATTGATACTAAATTTGATCCGACAAAATTTGAAGACTCTAACTATTATATTATCTCAGATATACTAATTTAATATATTCTTAATATGGGCGTGGCACGTCGCCCACATTAAATTTCAACATAAAAAGTAGCCTATAGTTCCTTCCAGACATACAGGAAGAAACTGTGAAAATTTCAGGAAAATCGATCCAGCCGTTTAGCAGTCTATAAAGCACAAACAAACAAACAAACATACATACATACAAACACACTTTCATTTTTATATATATAGATATAGGAGGTACTGCTCCCCTCATGGGTAGTCCGCCAATTTATTTCCCAAAATGTTTACATGGATGTTAATGTTACTCGTGGATATTTTTAATATTCTAACTATAATAATTTCCAAAATAAACGAATTTTTGTATTTAATTTATATGGCATCGATTAATCGAAAATTCAACCCTGTTTAGTAATAAGCGTGGGTGTTTTACACTACAAAAAAATAGCGTGGGTTGTTCTACACTACAAAAAGCTAGTAGCATGATGTTTTATATTGGCAGCCGTGATAAAAACATCAAAAGTAAACCAAAGTAACCGAAGTGTTGTGAACTGCGTAAAAAGTGTGAGTTTTTAAACAAGTATATAAAAAAAGAAGTGTGTTAAAGCCAATTGCGGTTTTAATTAAAAAGGCAATAAAAAATAATTATGCCTAGCCACGTCTGGCACTATTTTAAAAAAGTTTGTGCGGGGAAAAAGACTAGGTGCTGCGTATGCAAAAAGGAATTGGCCTTTTGCGGAAGCACATCTAGCCTATCAATACACCTCCAGAGGTCCCATAAAATTGTGACAAATAAAGGAAAGCCCCAATCTGAAGAAGACTTAAATGAAATAAATATATCGGATGAGGAGTCCAACCAAAATGAGGTAAGTGGAAAATACTGAAACATTGATTTTACGAAAAATATTTTTTTTTAAATATATTTTTTTCGAAAAAATATCACTTTTACGTAAAATATTGATTCTACGAGATATATAATTTTACGAAAAATATAATTTTTACGAAAAGTATAATTTTTAAGAAAACATAATTTTTACAAAAATATAATTTTTAAAAAAAATATATTTTTTTTTTTCAAAAAAATAACATTATTTTAAAAAATATCACTTTTACGAAAAAATAACATTATTTTAAAAAATATCACTTTTACGAAAAAATATATTTTTTAAGAAAAATATATAATTTTTACGAAAAACATAATTTTTATAAAAAATATTGATTCTACGAGAAATATAATTTTTACGAAAAATATTGATTCTACGAGAAATATCATTTTTACGAAAATATTGACTCTACAAGAAATCCAATTTTACGAAAAACAGAATTTTTTCGAAAAACATCACTTTTAGGAAAAAATTGATTCTACGAAAAATATAATTTTTACGAAAATCACAATTTTTTCGAAAACTATCATTTTTAGGAAAAATATTGATTTAACGAGAAATATAATTTTACGAAAAACATCATTTTCACGAAAAATATTGATTCTACGAAAACTATAATTTTTTCGAAAAATATCATTTTTACGAAAATCAAAATTTTTTCGAAAAATATTGATTCTACGAAAAATATCATTTTTACGAAAATCAAAATTTTTTCGAAAAATATTGATTATACGAAAAATAGAATTTTTACGAAAAACACAATTTTTACGAAAACTATCATTTTTTCGAAAAATATTGATTCTACGAGAAATATAATTTTTACGAAAATCACAATTTTTTCGAAAACTATCATTTTTTTCGAAAAATATTGATTCTACGAGAAATATCATTTTTACGAAAAACATCATTTTCACGAAAAATATTGATTCTACGAAAAATATAATTTTTACGAAAGACACAATTTTTACGAAAACTATCATTTTTTCGAAAAGTATTGATTCTACGAGAAATATAATTTTTTCGAAAATCACAATTTTTTTCGAAAACTATAATTTTTTCGAAAAATATTAATTCTACGAGAAATATCATTTTTACGAAAAACACAATTTTTACGAAAAATATGATTTTTTCGAAAAATATTGATTCTACGAGAAATTCATTTTTACGAAAATCACAATTTTTTCGAAAACTATAATTTTTTCGAAAAATATTGATTCTACGAAAAATATAATTTTTACGAAAAACACGATTTTTACGAAAACTATAATTTTTTCGAAAAATATTGATTCTACGAGAAATATAATTTTTACGAAAATCACAATTTTTTTCGAAAACTATAATTTTTTCGAAAAATATTGATTCAACGAGAAATTCATTTTTACGAAAATCACAATTTTTTCGAAAACTATAATTTTTTCGAAAAATATTGATTCTACGAAAAATATCATTTTTACGAAAATCACAATTTTTTCGAAAACTATCATTTTTTCGAAAAATATTGATTCTACGAGAAATATCATTTTTACGAAAAACACAATTTTTACGAAAAATATGATTTTTTCGAAAAATATCATTTATTCGAAAAGTATAATTTTTATATAATTTTTTACAAAAAATATTGTTTTACGAAATTTTGCAAAGTTATTCAGCCCTTTTACAAAGCTCCTTGCCTCAAAACCAGGGAAAACATGATGCAATCGAAATATCAGAAACTCAAAAGTGAAGTTTTTGATCAATTAGGTGCTGCAAAAAATATCGTTCTTACAACCGATTTGTATAGCTCTCTATTTAAATTGTTAATTAAGATGTAATAAATTCAGGTATTGAATTAAAATCTGTGGATATTGGGGCGAGGCATATTGTTGGCAAATAACTATCTCTAATTTAGAATTTGCCATAAATGAAATATGTAAGTCATGGAACATCAAGCAAGATAATGTGGCGGCTGTAGTAACGGATAATGGTCCAAATATTGTAGGGGCATGTCGTTCCGTTTTTGGAGCAGACAAGCATAAACGTTGCTCAACCTAGTGGCTATAAAATCAATCGATTTTTATACGCCAAACATAGAGGCTGAATTGCCGGTTATGGAAAATTCTGATGAAGATGAAATAAGTGATGAAACTGGGCATTCACAATTAAAATCAATTATAAATAAAATTAAAAAAATTGTTTGCTTTTTCAAGAAAAGCGAGGCAGCAAGCACATACTTGAATGACCTTCAAAAAGAAAGTGGCAAGCAACCAAAAAGGCTTATCCAGGAAATTAAAACACGCTGGAACTCGTTGTATGAGATGGTGGAACGGTATTTGGAGTCCGAAAACTAATTTCTGAAAAAACATGCAAGCCACCTAACGATATATCGCTGGACGAAATAGATAGTTTAGTTGAAATAAAGGAACTTTTAAAACCTTTATTTCTCGTAACAAAAGAATTATGTTCTGAAAAAAACGTAACAGCGAGCAAAGTAATTCCTTTACTTAAATTGCTGAAAAACGTAAGTTTATTGCATCAATGATCATATTTTTCAAAATTCTATTTATAAATCATATATTAATAATCATTTTTCAGAGGTTTATTTCTTAATATATTCTAATTTTTAGTAATATAAACTTTTAACAAATTAAAAAACTCATAAAAATATTAATTTTCTTAACAGAATATTGAAAATATATTGCCAATAGGGGCAGCATTTGACTTGCGAAGAAAACTTCTACTCAATCTTAATGATAGATTTTCAAAAGTTGAGGAGCACCCAATACTTAGCGTTCCCACTTTGTTGGATCCTCGTTATAAAAAAATTCACTTTCACCAAGAAAGTAATGTTGAAGCGGCGATTGGTAGAATAGGTAGGTTACTTTTAAAATATAAAACACATACTTATTTTTAACTCTGTTTTCTTTTATTTACTAGCAAAATATTTAGAAAAAATCAATCAAACTTCAAATGATGACCATCCTCCCCCTCTCCCAAAAGATCACGTGATTCTAATTGTTTATGGCAAATACACGACGATCTAGTGGATTCTCAAAATGAGACGATAATTGTGAATGAGGATAATGGTATTCCTTTTGAATTGGCGCAATATTTAAAACGCCCAGTATGCCCTAGACATACTAATCCAATCGAAGAGTGGGAACAGTACAAACAAGTTTACCCAAACTTGTACAGCTACATCAGCTACATCAGTCCCGTGCGAAAGATTGTTTTCGAAAGCTGGGTTAATTATAACCCAGCGAAGAAACAGACTGTCCTCAGAAAATCTGGATCAACAATTATTTTTACAAAATATATCGGAAGAAGACTGGTTTAAGAAATAGAAAAGGTAATTCCTAAATGTTAAAAAATATATAAAAATTTTGGAAAACGCTTAATAAATTTATTTCTGGTTTATTGTAGGATTTTTATATGTTATTAGCCATTGATACGGGGATAAAAGTATAATCAAACAAAAAACACAAAGTATAAACAAAAAATATATTTTTTAATTAAGTAAATATGTATTTAATTATTTTTTTTTAAATATTACAAAAAAAAACTTTTTTAATAAAAAACATAAAATACATAAACGAAAGTACAAACAAACAAGAAGTATAAACAAAAAAAATGGTTATTTTAAGAAATCAAAAATATTGAATTAAACTAAAGTACAAACAAAAACACAAAAAGTACAAATAAAAAACAATTTTTAACTAAAAAATGGAAAAAATTAAAATATTCAAATTTGTAAAATATTGTATAAATCAAATTACAAAAAAAATAATAATTTTCTAAAATAAAAAATGTAAATATTTAAAAAAAAACATAAAACACATAAACAAAAGTACAAACAAACTAAAAGTATAAACAAAAAAATTGTTTTTTTTTTAATTAAGTACAAACAAAAACACCAAAAATACAAACAAAAAAACATTTTTAACTAAAAAATGGAGAAAATAATATATTCAAAATTGTTAAACATTGTAATAAACAAATTACAAACAAAAACAAAATTTTTTTAATAAAAAATTCAAATATGTATTAAAAAAAATAATACATAAACCAAAGTACAAAAAAACTAAAAGTAAAAACAAAAAAAAAAAAAAAAAAAACAATTTTTTAATTAAAAAAGTTAATAACTTTAATAAATTAAAATATAATGAAATTAACCAAAGTACACACAAAATCATTAAAAAAATGCAAACAAAAACAATACTTTTTAAATGAAAAATGTAAATATTTAAAAAACTAATATGTATATAAACTTTATCAAAATTATATATTTATATAAACTTTATATATTATTTTTTTTTAATATTTACATTTTTCATTTAAAAAATATTGTTTTTGTTTGTATTTTTTAATGATTTTGTGTGTACTTCGGTTAATTTCGGTTAAACAAAAAAATTGTTTTTGTTTTTTTTTAATTAAGTACAAACAAAAACACCAAAAATACAAGCAAAAAAACATTTTTAACTAAAAAATGGAGAAAATAATATATTCAAAATTGTTAAACATTGTAATAAACAAATTACAAACAAAAACAATATTTTTTAAATAAAAAATTAAAATACGTATTAAAAAAAATAATACATAAACCAAAGTACAAAAAAACTAAAAGTATAAACAAAAAAAAAAACTATTTTTAATTAAAAAAGTAAATAACTTTAATAAATTAAAATATAATGAAATTAACCAAAGTGCACACAAAATCATTTAAAAATGCAAACAAAAACAATACTATTTAAATGAAAAATTTAAATATTTAAAAAACTAATATGTATATAAACTTTATCAAAATTATATATTTATATAAACTTAAAAAATATTGTTTTTGTTTGTATTTTTTAATGATTTTGTGTGTACTTCGGTTAATTTCATTATATTTTAATTTATTAAAATTATTTCATTATATTTTAATTTATTAAAATTATTTACATTTTTTAATTAAAAAAATTGCTTTTTTTGTTTATATTTTAAAAAATCAATAAAAATCAATTATATAATCAAACTAAATAACGATTTGAGGTTTTAATTGGAAAATAAAATTGAATTGCATTTTTTTAACTTTTCACTTTTACTTTTAAATAAAAAATAACTTAAAATTATTTTTTGTAAATATTTGATTTTTAATAATAATTTAAATTTTTTATTTTTTTGTAATAAATGTTTTCTTCATGATAATAAAAAATTAATTTAATAAAAAATTTTCTTTTAAAAATATAAACTATATATTAATGTGTTTTTAATTAAAAAAGAAGAAAATCAATCTAAGTTGATTTAAAAAAATTATTAAAATAAAAATACCGTAATCGACTAAAAATCGATTATTCGGTTCGATTAATCGACTAAAAATCCAACTCGAAAATAGTTGATCGGCATAATCGTTAATCGATTATCAGCTTTTCATACCATTCACTAATACATACATACATACATACATACATACATACATACATAAATACATACATACATACATACATACATACATACATACATACATACATACATACATACATACATACATACATACATACATACATACATACATACATACATACATACATACATACATACATACATTACATACATACATACATACATACATACATACATACATACATACATACATACATACATACATACATACATACATACATACATACATACATACATACATACATACATACATACATACTACATACATACATACATACATACATACATACATACTACATACATACATACATACATACATACATACATACATACATACATACATACATACATACATACATACATACATACATACATACATACATACATACATACATACATACACACTTTCATTTTATATATGTTAATGTAAAATTAATGCATTAAGTTCAAAAATATTTAATGTTAATGCAAATTTAATGCATTAAATGTACCCATGTTAATGTTAATGCAATAAACTTTCATTAACATTTATTTTTTTTTAATGTTGAAAAAATTGTTAATGCATTAACATATTTAATGCACTTATCCCAGGTCTGTCTAATAGTTTGTGTTGCTAGTCCGCCAATTTATTACCCAAATATTCACATTTATGCCAAAGTTATTCGTGCAAAATTTGAGTATTTCAGCTCTAATAGTTTCTGAGATATACAAAGTTTTGCATTTAATTCATATGGGAGGTACCAAGCCCCCCTAAAGAATGTCCGCCCGTTTTTCCCCCACATGTTTACATGGATTTTAAAGTTCTTCCTGCAAAATTTGAAAATTCTAGCTCTAATTGTTTCTCAGATAAACTAATTTTTTTATTTAATTCATATGGGAGGTGCCTCGCCCCCTATTGCTAGTCCGCCTATTTTTTGTCCTAAATATTCAAGTTGTTAATAAAGTAGCTCCGAAAAATTTGAGAACTCTAACTGTTATATTTTCTCAGATATACTAATTTATGATTTAATTATATGGGAGGTGTCACGCCCACTATAGATAGGCCGCCCATTTTTTCCACATATGTTCATATGGATGTCAAAGTTGTCCATACAAAATCTGAGGACTCTAGCTCAGATATGCCACTGAGATATGCAACTTTTAATTATTATTTAGGATGTAGGCGTGGCACCTCGCCCACTTAAAATTTCTAAATAAAAGGTAGCCTATAGTTCCTTCCAGACATACAGGAAGGCACTGCGAAAATTTCAAGAAAATCGGTCAAGCAGTTTAGCCGTCTATAGACTTCAAACAAACAAACAAACCCACAAACAAATAAACACTCATTCATTTTTATATATATTATGATGTATCGTGTTTAGCAGTTGAATTATAAGTGACTTTTTATTAATTCATTTTAAGATTACATTCGCTTAAGAACTAGATTAACAGATGATATAACTTGCATCATATGTTGAGGGTTTTGTAAGGTAAGTCACACCTAGATGGCGCAATACCACAACTCCCTTCCGAGGTTTATTAATACTATAACATAAGTAATAATAATAGTTAAGAAATTCATTAAATTTTGATCTTACGTACTAAAAATGTAAATGTAACTTATTGTAATTATTCTCTTTTTTACTGTTACATATATAGAAAGCTAGAATAATTTTTTTATATATATATAAATTTTCATCATATACCTGGTTATTCTTTGTAATTAGGACGTTTCAAACGCCTTAAATTTCGACAAATACTCTCTTTATGCCTCGGAGTAACGTTCTGCTCTCCGCTAACCTCCCCAGAAGCTGATTTATCAGGATCTGATGCCTTTTTATCAGTGGAAGTACTAGAAGCTCCTTGTCCGTTAACCTCAGCATTGTCATATTTATTCTGTGTGCCACTAATCATTTGATATGCGTGTCTTTTAATTATTCTGTTATTTCGAGTTAAAATGCAATGATAAGATTGCGGACCTAGACGTTCTTTTACTGTAGCTTCTTGCCATGAAGCTTTGTTTGGATTCGAATAATCTTTATGATTCTTGATGTTTGACCATTGACTCTCAACAATTTTGTTTTTTACTAAAGGTGGACTAAGCATACTAAAGCGGGTCTTTACCTCCTTGCCTAACAATAATTTAGCCGGAGTCTCACCGGTAGTACAATGTTTCGTTGTTCTATAATCAAACAAAAATGTGTTCATTATTTCATCTATATTTTCACCTTCACTTTTCACCAAAAGACTTTCTTTAAAAGTTTTAACACAATTTTCGGCTTGACCATTGGAAGCCGGATGGCCCGGAGCCGTCAAAATATGTTTGATATTATTCGCCTTCATAAAAACCTGAAACTCTTCCGCAGTAAACTGTCGGCCGTTATCACTTACTAAAATATCAGCTAAACCAAACCTTCCAAAGACTTCACGCAATTTACTGATAGTAAAACTTGATGTTATACTTTTTGTTTTAAATATTTCGACCCATTTTGAGTACGAATCAATAATTAAAAGAAAATGGAAATCCTTAATAGGACCCGCAAAATCAATATGTAGCCGAGACCAAGGAGAATCCGTAGGCCTCCACGGCATTAATGGACTTTTCTCAGGACTTGGTTGGCTCATCTTACATGGAATACAATTAGAAATGTATTTTTCTATATCGTGGTCTATTTCAGGCCACCATACATACGACCGAGCTAGAGATTTGGTTTTCACAATCCCAAAATGCGAATAATGCAATTGTCGCAAAACTTTATCACGTAACTTTAGTGGAACCACCACTCTGAAACCCCATAAAATACAATCGTATTCTACCGAAAGCTCATCTTTACGATTAATGAAAGGGACAAATTCTTCACCAATCAATGACATAATTTTCCCGAACTGGATGGCTTCTTTGACTTTAGATAAGGTAGGATCGCGCCTAGTTTCCCTAGCCATAATCTTAAAATTTAAATTTAACTTATTATCGCCACTAATATAGTTAATAAAACCAAAGTCTTCACTACCCTCTTCAACTTCACGTTGAGGAAACCGAGACAGATTATCTGCAGAATTTTCAGTACCTTTAACATAACGCATGGTGTAATTAAAACCGGATAAAATAAAAGCCCATCTTTGGATCCAAGCTGCCACCATCACTGGCAAACCTTTATTTTCTCCAAAAATGGCTAAAAGTTGTTTGTGATCTGACTCTAAAGTAAAATGAACACCGAGCAAATACTGTCTAAGCTTTGTTACACTAAACACAATAGCTAACGCCTCCTTTTGTATAGTGCTATAATTTATTTCGGTTTTTGTTAGCGCACGAGAAACAAATGCTATGGGCTTCTTTGACCCATCTGCTCCAATGTGGGATAAAATTCCAGCTACTGCGCAATTGGAAGCGTCGGTTGAAAGTAATATAGGCAATTTGGGGTTAAAATGAACCAATATTTTATCCGAAGTTACCTCCCTTTTTAAAATTTCAAATGCCTTTTGACAAGATTTCGACCATTTGAATTCTACATCTTTTCTTAAAAGTTCATAAAGAGGTGACATCTTATTGGCAAAATTATAAATAAATTTTGAATAATAATTCAGCACCCCCACAAACGCTTTAACCTCCGATACATTTTTAGGGACTGGCGCATACAGTACTGATGAAATACGATCTTTATTAATACTTAAACCGAAACGGTCAATGTTGAAGCCTTAATATGATACCTTATCTTTGAAAAATGCACATTTGTCACTATTAAGTCTCAAACCAACTGACGATAGTTTACTTAATACCAACTCAATAGTTTTAACATGGTCCTCAAAATTACGACCGGTGATGATAATATCATCCAAATAGTTAACTACGTTTGGAATGCCACGTAAAATATTCTCAGTTGTTTTCTGAAAAATAGCCGCTTTGGGTTTAATCCCAAATGGCAAGCGAGTCATTTTGAATATACCCAAATGGGTACTCCAAGCGCACAACAACTGAGAATCTTCATATAAAGCCAATTGATTATAAGCGTTTGAAAGATCTAATTTCGTGAAAAGCTCTCCACGAAGAGAAGCAAACAACTCGTCAATCAACGGAAGAGGATATTTAACATCTTCTAAATACTTGTTAATGGTAGACTTATAGTCCCCACAAATACGGATCTGACCATTTGGTTTAATAATGGGTACCAGAGGTGTGCCCAACTCTGAATTATCTACGTGTACCAATACACCTTTTCCAACTAAGCCTTGCAATTGTATTTCGATTTTTGAACGCCACCCAAACGGAACCGGTCTAGGTTTACAAAAAATAGGTTTAACGTTTCCCATTAAATTTAACTTTACTGTGCCACCAGTATATAAACCTAACTCTTCTTTGAAAACATTTTGAAACCGTTTTTTTATACTTAGTACACACTCATTTATGTCCGTTATTAAATTGACATTTGAGAGGGCGATATCAAACATCGACATAAAATCACGTCCTAAAATAGGTGGGCTACGTGTGTGTGTAATAACAAAACTTAAATTTTTAACTTGGCCACGAAATTTTACCATTGCTAAAAACTCACCAATAACATCTATGACATCTCCACCGTAAGCACACAATTTCTTACCGCATGGCTTTAATTTCTGTTCCTTAAAAAATTTATGAAAAATTTCACTGGATATCAACGAACAAGCAGCCCCAGTATCCAAAACAAAATTGATCATTACTTTATTTACTTCAATTGATACTTGAAATGGAGCAGAACATTGATCCGTTACACTATAAATAGAAAAAGCATTATCGTCATCAACATTATTATTTTCAAAAATATTTTTGTTATGAAACTCATTATTTGATACTTGAAGTACATTTATTTTGTTAGAGCTACAAACACTTACTAAATTGTTGCACTTATGACAAATACTGTTTTTATATTTGCATTTGTCGCTAGCGTGATTCTTCCATCCGCAATGAATACACTTCTTCTTTTTCTTCTTATTGCCGTTATTCTCATGCACATTAAACTGTTTGTTGTATTTACTGCTACCAGCCGCTTCTTCTTTATTCTTGTTGGTGTTATACTTTTTGCTTCCCCGTTCAGTATTTGTATTATTCTTTTGTATTTGTATTATTCGAATTTACACTCCATTGCCAATTTTTTAAGACGTGCATACCACACTGCTACTGATTCATCACTCTTCTTTTTGGCGTCAAAAAAATTTCTACGCTCTCGAAAAATGATCACTGGGGGTGAATAATATTGATTTAACATGCCACATAATTCATTATACTTCTTCTTGGCAGGTAAATCAGGGAAACACAGTTCCCTTAACAAACCATATGCCTCAAGACCGACCGCCTTCAACAACGTTGACGTTTTTATGCGGTCTTCTTCTATTGCTGCTTCCACAAAATGAGAATCCAACACCTCTTGCCAATGAGACCACCGATCCACACCCGTCCGGAATTCCCTTATACCAGTTGCCAAAGATGTTGCAAAAAGACTCCCGTTGTGAGCTATTGTTGTATCACTTGGTCCAGGCATTATGCCAATTTGAAATATAAACCCACTAAAATTCCACGATTTTTTTATGCAGAAAATCTGCTTATTTATATAATATTTATTATATAAAAACTACCTTATATACAAAAGGTATTCGCAGCTAGAAAAATTAACGGTTTCTATTTATTTGCTATACACACTGTTGGATTTTTTTATCAGAGCTCGTCGCCACTATGATGTATCGTGTTTAGCAGTTGAATTATAAGTGACTTTTTATTAATTCATTTTAAGTTTACATTCGCTTAAGAACTAGATTAACAGATGATATAACTTGCATCATATGTTGAGGGTTTTGTAAGGTAAGTCACACCTAGATGGCGCAATACCACATATATATATAGATAAAAAATTTAAATTAATTGTTAATCGAGATAACAATAAAAATCTATGATCAAGTAAACATGCCATCAAAAAATTATCTTGATATAAATTCGGTTTCATTTTTCAAATGCAGCCCAAATCCAAAAAAAACCATGAAGATATGTATTTGACTACTCATTAGAGTGTCCCGAAAGACAGCACCTTTTCAAATCTTATATACACTATCGGAAAAAATAAAGTGCAAAAGTACTCATGCTATATTCTTTCATCGAAAAATCGGTTAAATGATTATTGAATATGGAAATTTTTTTCAAAATCATTTAGTTAATATACAACGCTACAATAATAACAATAAAACTAAATTATTGTAATTACAATTTTTCTGTAAAACTTCTAAAATAAAAGTAAATTCAATTTTTTTGTCGGACAAAATAAAGTGTAAATTTTATATATCATTATTTAAATTTCTTGTATATCAAAATTTTTTATCTATTTTGGTTCTGATTTGAATATCTGGATCTACTTAAGCCATTTTGGTAATTTTGTTCACCATTGTTATTCGCAATCGCCCTTCCTTCCCCTTGCTTTTCGCATATGATTATTTTCAAAAGAAATCCGTTTTTGATCACTATTTCATCGGAATTTTTTGATCAATTGTGGTCCAAAATTAATCTATTGGATTTAGGGCGGTGCTCTGAGCAACTTATTTAAATTTTCAGTGTTCTTTCCTAAAGTAATGCTATTTTTTAACTTTATCAAGCGCTTAAGCTTATTATCTTTCCGAGATATAAAGTTGCCCAAGTCCATTTCGAAGGCACTGATCTTAAGATTTGACTGTAATATGCTCACATAGTGTTCACTAGAGCTTTTTGAATAAATTTCCCCTAGGTTCCCCACAGCTAACATTAAAAATTAAACACATACGAAGAGTCAACTGACCCATACGTTCAATCTTTCACCAACACATTTAAAAGCATGGAAATTTTTTTTCGGTTTTAGTATTTAATTTTGTATTTTTTACCTCAAATTTGCGTAGATAGTCAGATGAGTCCTAATTTGTACCGAAAATTTTAAAATGTCGACAATGAGTGTGAGTTAAACCCTTCAATATACAATATTTTAAAAACAATACCCCAGGTTTTAAACATTATGGTGGGGGGCTATCGGTATTGGTACGTTATTCAACCTTAGGAGCGGGAATCTTAGTGAAGATGGAGTAAACAATAACAATTGAGCAATTCACGAGCGTATTAAATAATTTTTTTTTAAATAAATGCCGTAAAAATGGATTTGGGACACTTAATGCCTCAACAGATTTATGACTTCAAACACACGACAAAGGTTAAAAACATTACTGTAAGAAAAAAAAAACACTGAAAAATTGGAATGACCTACTCAGACCATCGCCCTAAATCCAATAGATTAATTTTTGACCACAATTGATAAAAAATTCTGCTGAAATAGCGAACAAAAACGGATTTCATTTGAAAATAATCGTATGGGGGAAAGCAAGGGGAAGGGAAGGCGATTGCGAATAATAATGGTAAAAAAATTAAAAAAATGGCTTAAGTAGATCCAGATATTCAAATCAGAACCAAAATAGATAAAAAATTTTGATATACAAAAAATTTAAATAATGATATATAAAATTTACACTTTATTTTGTCCGACAAAAAGGTGAATTTACTTTAATTTTGGATGTTATACAGAAAATTTTAGGTGGAATTATTTTGTTTTATTGTAATTTTTGTAGCATTGCATATAAACTAAATGAATTTTAAAAAATTCCATATTCAGTAATCATTTAACAGATTTTTCGCTGAAAGAATATAACATGAGTACTTTTGCACTTTATTTTGTCCGATAGTGTAGGTAGACCTCTCAAACGATGCATATAAAGCATTGTTCATATAAAATTTGGATAAATTGATTCTAAGCTTTTCAAATTAATTAATAATTTTTAATAATTCCAGCACACATTTTCCATTTACCATTTACAAATTCCGAATTTTTTTTAATTAAAGGAAGACGTGGATATTTTAATAAGTAAAATTATTTGGGTATCTGCTTTGTACATCTAACGATATTTGACCCTTATTTCTTCGGATTTAATAAGTGGTGTCTAAATTCAGTCAAAACTTTAGTGTGGATGTATAAAAGCTAATGAATAATAAGTTACAGTGCTATATTCGGCTGAACCGAATCTTAAATATCCTCCACCAGCTACTTTTATATTAATACGTTTTTAATTGATCAAATATTTGTAGAAATAAGTTTTCTCATGTCTTAAATAGAAAATCCCCAAGATTTAAACAGTTAAAATCTGTTACATTCAAAGATTTGTTGAACATTACAAACCCTATTTTCTTTTATATTTTTATAGCGTCCTAAGATATGCTTTAACGATATTTAATAATGTGCATGTGTGTGAAAGATTTAAGGATTTTCAAAATACATATATATAATTTTGTTCTACACAAATTGATAATGCAACTAGTTAAATACGATTAAATTGCTTTTAGGAGCAATATAGTAGGAAGATATGACAAATTATAGACCGATCGTAAAAAATTCTTTAAGCAAAGTTTCTGTACATAAAAGCTATATTTCAGTAAAATTTTGTATCTATATCGTAATTTAGTAATAAGTAATGTGTGTTCAAGTGATTTTCTGAAGGAAACCTTGCATGGG